GCCTGACGTATATTTCAAAAACATTGCATCGACCCCGACCGCCACTTCATGGAGGACATGAAAACCGACTCTGGCGGGAACTCCAACGATTAACAAATGTAATTGATGTTTTAAATTATTCTAATCCTCAATTAAAATTAATATTTAAAATAAATCTATATTTCATTTTTAATGTCAACCACTTCTTGTGTAAGTTAGGTAATTAAAAAAACGACCGAGGACCGGCCCATGAACAGTCCAAGTACCCGGACCAGAACTGATACCAGACCAATCCAGGTCGGTATCGGGCTCCAATTTATTAGAACCGGGACTGGCCGAAACCTACCTGGGTCCACCACTAGTGGTGGACTCGGTTCGGGCCTTGAACCGGCCGGGCCTCGGTTCAAGGTAGGGGAGACCCGGAACCGGCCCGGGTAACCCCCGGGTCCGGTTCGGGCCGGGCCGGGTCCGGTTCGGGCCGGGCCGGGCCCGGTTCGGTTCTATATAATTTTTTTTTTGGGTTTTCCTAATCAACCCCCTACCCTCCCCCTCAACCCCAAACCACCTCAAATGGCCCAAAATACCCAATCCAACCCAAAAACTTAAAAAAATTCAAAAAAAAAAGGGAATTTTTCACAAGTAGACCAAAAACCAAAAGTAATATCACTATTTTCACTTTTGAAAGTTTATTTCAAAAATAGACTAAGCAATTATGTCTTTTCAAGAATAGCTTTAAGTCTTCTTACGACAGTACCGACACTTAACCATGTATGTTAACTTAGGGAGTGTTTGCGATTGCTTGTGCTTTTCAAAAGTGATTTTTTTAAGAGATTTTTGGAAAAGTGATTTATAGTAAAAGTAGGTGATAGAAAAGTGATTTTTATGTAATAATTCATCAAAATACAAAAATACCCTTATAACAAAAATTGACAAATTGAAAAGGAAGAGGCGGAGATTTGTTCAACTAGCTCCTCTGAATCGTTCGTCTCCAATTTGCGAGTGGCTTTGTGCGGGCAGAGTTCTTACCTTTTAAATAGATACGAACTCGATCGTCTTCCTCCTCTGAATACATATAAATATATATTATAAATATATTTGTTTTAGACAAATTGTTCTTTGCTTGAGGGTTCTTCAAATGTTATTGAGCAGCCACCTGGTTTTCTTGTTTTCTTGGAAGTGACGCACCAGCAAGATGGAGGTCAGGAAGAGACGTCAGGAGCTGGTCGTTGCCAAAAGATAAGGGGTATTCTGGACTTTGGGGATTATATCTATCATAATAATCATCCCTAAAGTTGGAATAATTTACAGGAAAACCAAGAAGCAGTTAAAAGCTACCTTACCCCAACTTCCAGCTTTTGGCTTTAAAGCACTTTTTTAAGCCAAAGTTGGGTTAACAAACACTTATTTTGACTTTTTTTAATCTAAAAGCTCCAAAGTGCTTTTTTAAGCAAACAAAATCACTCCCTTAGCCGTATACCACTTGGTTGAATAAGTTGGATGAAAATTGCTCAATTGCAAAATATGGAGTATTTTGGAACATTTGAAAATTTGTAGATTTTGAAAATTTCATGAGCTGAAATAAATGTAAAAATGATTACAATAAAGCAAAATATTTAAAAATATGTATATTTTCAAATCTATAAAAGCTTAAAATACAGAGTAGTAAGATTATTATTTCTTGTGATTGTAATTCTAAAATATAAGACAAAGCTGAAGAATTACTTAGGGGAAAATGTTCAAATATTACTGGGGAAAGATAATACATTTTTTTAGAAAGCAAAGATATATAAAATTATAAAAATGCTGAAACAATGAAAAAGATCACAAAACTTAACAAACGTAAAATAAACACCATTTATGGGAAAAAATTTAAAACCAAAAAGAAGAATAAAACTAATATATATATATATATATATAATAATAATAAAAAATAGAAAAAAAAAGGTAAAAAGTATTAAAATTTTCAGAAAAGGTAATAATTCCAAACTCTAAAATAGTAAAAAAAAAAAAAAAGTTGAAATATTACAAAGAATGATGTTTAATAATTTTGTAAGGGGCTACAAAGTTTAATTCTTATTACCATTTTATTGTTATTTTTTGTCGCATGTTGTTTCTTTTTGTTTCTATATGTTTATTTTTGTTTCTGATTGTTTTTTTTATCATTACTATTGAGTTTTTATTCCAAAGAAGTATCAATCAAAGATATATAATCAGGAACCTAAATAAACAACTAAAATCAAATTCAACTATAAACAACAATAAGCAACAAAATGCAACAAGAAACAGAATGCAACAAAAGGCAACAACAAGAAACACAATGCAACAAAAAGAAACAAATATAATGCAACAAAAAGCAACTAAAGATAACATATAAAACTATCACAATAAATATATAATTCAATTTATTACATTTATCGAGTATGTTATTTGGCTTTGCTTCTTATCATATTTTCTTTTTGTACATCTTAACACATAATTCCTCAGATTTGTCTCTCTCGTGTTCTTTTCCTCATTGATCCTCCTAATCTTATCACCAACTTCATGTGCTTCTTTTCCTTTTATGCATCTGCAATAAAAACACAATTACTACAAAATGACAATAAAATAAGCAACTGTAGCATACTAATTTTCTATAACAATTCACTTCGACACTTGGAAGTATAGAATTCTTACAACTGTAAAAAGCAAGAATACGATTGCTATGAGCCTATGACCAGACTGTTAAAAGTGATTAACTATTAGTTTCCCTTTTCTTGTAACAAATCTCCGCAAAGTTTGCAATAAAAAATGAAGCTACTACAAAAAACAACCTATAATATGCTGCATTAGTAATATTTATAACCACAAAGTCTAACCTCTCACAAAGTTTCGCTAGCCAAAATGAAGCCAAATCATACTGATCATCAATCCATAAGCAAGGAATAAGATGACCTGATCTATATATGTGCTTCCACCTGATAAAAAACATCTTTAATTAACTGCTTTAGAATAAATTTAACATCCGGAAGTCCTTGAGCATCTTTTAATGAATCATTGTTCTATAAATTTAGCATCTGCTTTAGAATAAACTTAACATCTGGAACTATAAATTTAAGTCTCACACATTAAGTCTAACACCCTTGAAAGCTGTGTATTTCAAGAGCATCAAAGCCTCATATACCACTTTTCAAAAAGCACATCCTAGCAAGACCAAATAGATATAGGTTCATCAAATACATCACAAACATGTTGCAGGTTCTCCCTTTCTTTTTCTAAACCTCAGAAGAAGCAACACTACAACAATGTTTATTGGACTTTATCTCCAAAGTCTCATATTCTCCCTTATGAGAGGAGTAAGTTTTAACCTGATTGCCATAAGCTTCACCAAAGGTAAGACTGATTTGGTCTTCCATTCGTAAAGGATAAGAGCAACTTGTGCTTATTGATACTGTGAAGGTACATCCACCGCAATCCTATATATCTCCAAACCCAACAATAACATAAAGTAAACAAACAAAAAAATTAACAAATTCACACGATTCAAATGCACTGATTCAATGCGTGTTTTTTTCAAACTCAAATTCACAATGAAATTAATAGTGTTATACTGCGCCAGCTAATGAGAATATGTGAAAATCAAGAGCAGAATTCACATTAATACTAATGTAATTGTACATCTGTACACATGCAGATTGGCTAAAGGAAAAAAAATAAAATCACACCGGTAGCAAGCAATTCAAGCAATCAAGATGACTAAAAATATAAAATAGCAGTTAGACTACACTAAAAGGCTTTCCTGCAAATCAGAAATCGGAAATTAGAAAGTAATGTAGAAAGTAAAATTAAGACAGACCGGAAATTAGAAATAAAAATTAACTATATGAATTATATAAAAAAAAAGTGAAAGTAAAGTGTTGAAAATCTCAAAGGCATACTTGCAAATCGGAAATCAACACGCAATTAGGCCTCGATTCAGCAAGCAGAGAGTTGCCAAGCATGCACAGGCGGACAGCGGAGACGCACAGGACAAAGGGCGACCGGCAGAGAGCAAATCCGCATATCACAGAAGGAAAAGTTAAGAGCGGTGGGCGAAGCCGCCGGGGCCAGAGGCGCAGCTGGAGCTGGGCCGGAGGAGAAGAGCCACACGCATCTCTGTGCTTCAGTTTGACAGGTTGTGAGGAATGAGGATATGTAGATCGATCTCTGGTTTTGAATTAGGAATTAGGTCATTTATGAAATAGGAAAGATGAAAGTGAAAATGGAAAAGTCTATAATGAAAAGTAAATTCTGAGATGACATAAATGAAATGTAATTAGAAAAGGAAGACTTAACGGAATATTTCCACAAAAAAAAAAATTAAATCCGGCCCGGACCGGGTCGGTTCACCAAAATGAAGGCCCGAGCCCGGAACCGGTAGCCACCGGGCCGGGTCGACCCTAACCGCCCATGGGCCAGCCCGCCGGGCCGGGCCGGTTCAAACAGTGACCGGGCCGGTTCCGGTTCGGGCCGCCCGGTCCGAGTCCACCCCACTAGTGGTGACCGACCGGCGGTGATCACCAGAGATCAAGTAACTGTCACTATCAAATTTGGTAATACCACCAAGAAAAAATATTGGTAACTATCACCGGGTGAAAGAAGGGTAACTAATCAAAGTCATGTAAATCTCTTTTTCAAATTTTTTTAGAATAGTCATATATATCTCGTAAGTTTTTATTTAGTAATATTAGGGTTAAAACCGCTTCTAATAAGAGAATTTACCCTAAATAGGACTAAAAATTTTGTAAATTCCAAAATGATATTGCTATGTTTTTAATTCCCAAAATGGGACTAATTACTGTCATGTTTTGACAGTACCAGACTTTAAACATGGCAATATTTTCCAAACTTGGCAATAATTACTCCTATTTTGAGAATAAAAACATGACAGTCTTATTTTGGAATTTACAAACGTTTTTGGTCCCATTTCAGGAACTTTCCCTTTTGATAATTAATCTCGCACATTACATCGCTTATAATTTCGTTGCTTCAAAATGTACATCGCGCTTTTTTTTTCGTTGAAGAAAAAATGTAAACAAAAATCAACGGACACTCGAATAACATTAATTAGAAGCAACAAAAAAGTACATGACAGCTTGCACCCTCCCACCGACAAGATTTGAGGGGAACAAAAGCACGAGACAATTTAATGTATCGAGTCTATTGACTCATCATCGTATAAACTATACAACACATTAATTGATTGATGAAATAAGCTCTGATCTTAAAGACACCACCCACCAAATCGAATACAAATCTGGAGTGTTAATCTTCTTCTACTTGCCTAGCATTACTTTCAAGTTTCAACCTGGCTGACGAGGAGATCTGACCACCCGTGATTTTGGCTATGTACATGTGGAACTTTCCGAGCGAGCAAAGGTTATACGCCTACTTTCGATATAGTATGTGCATAGTTATATATGTGTATATATAAATAGGCCACCATATACATATATAATAATAATTATAATCATAATATTAATTAATATTAATAATATAATAATAAAAGGCTCCGAGAAAGCAGTCCAAAATTGCAATCCACATAGAGAGGGTGGACCAGAAGTTCAAGGGATTCCCACTCATATGCATTCTTATGATATTCCAAGTATATCCCCAAAAAATCAACAGTGGACAGCAATGGTCTTCTTCCTCTCCCTTACTCTTGCTCCAAAGAACCTGTGGCCATTCATACCAACAAATCACACTAAATTCTTGTACAAAAGATGGCAACATAGCATGAAATCATGTTAGAATTCTGGACACCAATTATTCAAAGGACCCCTGAATGTTGACCGGGTTTGGGATGGACAAAGACCAACGGGAGCTAAATCCATGATTCAAAGAAGAGTTTTTGACCCAACTGCAGCATCATTCATTACTCAACTTGGTCATCATGTTTAAGATTCAATTTAGTTTTCAAGATTACTTCATTCTCTAAGGGTTTATCGTGGGCCTATATTTAATAAGCAGAAAACGGCATTTATACAAGTTCTAAGTTGGGTCCGAAGTACATAGCAGAGGACTAGAGGACCAGGTCAAGTACGGAGTAATAGATTATTAAATTTCCCGGATCATCTGGACCGTCTTTCTCTTCTGAACAAAAGAGATCAAAAGCAGTCAATTGCTAGATTGTGGGGCCCATGCTGATCTGATGGTTGGATAATTGGATTGGTCGTGCTTGGTCAACCAAGTAGAGAAAGCATATCCACCCCACATTATATTAAAAAAAAATCATAGGAATTCTTCAAAATTAGCACAACTTAATGATTATATTCCTCATATACTTTACCTATATAATAAATATATTAGATTTGAAGGAGTTAACAATCCTCAGCACTGGATGCTGAAGGGATATGTGAACTCTTCACTTCCCTAGTGTCCAATCCTTCTGCGACGGATGACGTGTCTTCTCCTTTTGAATTCAGAGTCCCTGGGTTCATCCTTTGTACTTCTTCTTTTGTGTAGATGTAGATTTTGTGAACCATTCCACAAAACTCCCTGTTTCAACGAAAGAAACGGAATTAAAATGAAGTAAAAGGAGTTGCCTACCTTGGGTCCACTCCCTTGAGGTCCTCTTGATACAAGTCACAAACTAGAATGTATTAGTAGCCCTCCTTATCACAAAGGCATTTTACCATTTCAATTAAGCATTAAATCATCTTTTCTGTTATTTTCTCGGAATTAGAGACTTGTGTTTTTGTATTAAAAAGATTATTCAAACTTCTTTTTTTAGCAAAATAAATCAGTTCTGATTTTAAACTTTAGCTTGATAAATCTAAACTTATATTTCAATGTTTTGTTTTGTTTGCTAATGATGGTAGTATTGATAGTATGAGGCACATAGTACTTTATATCTTTAATTACAATTACTAGCCTGTGTAATTTTATCAAAAGTGACTTGTATTAATGTATAGATGGGAGGTATCATGTAAACATGAATAGAGAAAGGTCACGTACTGCCACGGATCATCTCCCACAAGCATCATATCACCCTCGTCATCTGTGTATACAACCATCCAGTTCTTATTCAGCGTCTTAAGTTCACCATTAAAATCAAACAGCTGGTCAAGTTCAGCAAGCAATTCGTCGTAATTGTTGAACTTGGTAAGATCTACAGACCTACCAAGGGCAGTGCCCTGTTTATGAACCTGAAATCAAAGAAGTAATATTTGCAACATTTTCAAATTCTGTTTGATAGAGAGGCCATTTGGCAACTCTGTTTTTTGGCTTATCAGACTTATCAGTCAACTTTTTCACCAAACACATAACTTTTGTTTTCGCGTGCTGAATTGTGTAATATGCAGAAAAAGTAAGGTTGGAGTTACTTTTCTGGCTGTATTGGCTGAAGTTACTGTAGATGACTATTTTAGCTATTTTTACATATAAATTTTTCTTTATTTTATTAATAAAATATATTTTAAAAATAATTTTTCTTAAATCAGCAGAATAAGCTGATGCAGCCACTTCAGCCAGAACTTCATAAATTTCAGCAAAATCAGCCAAAACAGCCAATTTTCGTGCTACCAAACGGGCTCAGAAATGTGGTACAACATTATAACTTTTGTCATGTACTAACTCTTGTAAACTATTTTACAGACCTACCAATGGCAGTGCCCAGTTCTTTAATCTGAACTCAAAGAAGATAATAACAACAACATCCAAGCCTTGGTCCCAAAAGATTTAAGGCCCCAAAAGATTTTGAGGTCGGCTAACATGAATCGATACATGACATCAAAGAACTCAAAGAAGATAACATTTGCAAAATTTCAACATCTGTTTGATAGAACTGTGAAACTCCCCAAAAAATGTTTCATGATACAACATTAAGTTTTTGGTAAGGTATTATTGTATTGCCCTTGTAAATTATTTTCAATTATATACACTAATAAAACCTATAATGGATTATTATTTAGTAATTTAGTTATTAAAACAAATTGTTTAATACTCCCTCCTGTCCCACTTTACCTATCCTTCCATTTTGGTTTGTCTCAAAATAAGTGTCATATTACCTATTTTGGAAAGAAATATTTTGGAAAGAAATATGTGGTCCACACCATTTCACTTTATTGTACTCAAACCTTAACCACAACTTTTATTTTTCAACCACTTTATTAATAATTGTGCCAAACCAAAACAAGACACATCAAATGGGACAGAGATAGTAGCATTTTTCAAGCTATAAATTAATAGATACAAAAATGAGGCAACAAAATTGATGAATTTTGACTACAAAAGTCAGAAGGTGAGCTTGTTTGGTGATGGGCGAGTATATCTTTGAATTTATTTATTTGTTAAGCTAAATTTAGCAAATTGAGCTTTTAGGGATACTTATTTGTTTTGAAAAATCACACAGAGTAAAATTAACCAGGCTTTTTATGTATCTCTTTCTATGGGAAAAAGATAATTTTTGAACATAAGTTCTATTTTGGGCCAGAGGGAGCATGTTATAAGATAAATATTGGAACCTTGGTGCAACTCCTTGTTGATCCAGAGTGAACTTTCCGCTCCCGATCTTTAAAAAGTTTCTCCTCCTCGTTGACAGCCACCTCATCATCTGCCATTTTAAAGCCATTTGATTGCTCCAACCTTTGATCAGACTCAATTGTGTTGGGTTGATGAGATTGTATACCAATATGCAAGTTTTGGGCAGGATCAGTAGTATGAGGGTTGCTTATGAGGGGTATCCCAAAGAGTTTGCAGTTACCATCTTGTGGCTTCACAACCATCATTGGTGTAGGGGGCATTCTCAGGTAAGGTAGTGTGTGACGACCCCCCAACCAGTTCCCTTGCTGGTTCTCAACGGTGGGTCCACCATAGATAGAGTCTCCTCTTGCTGGATAAGGACTGTCAGAAACCTGACTATGGGGTTTAATGCCAGAATCCATCAAATTAAGGGACAGGCCAGAAGACATGACAGCCCACGGTTTTTGTCTCTTTGTCAAACCAACGTAAGCAGATGATTGATCCATCCCAGGGGGATGTAAGGAAAATCCACAAGAAGGGTTGATTTGTGTCCCAAAACCCGACAATAGATCTGTAAATGACGGCTCAGATCTCCCTATGAAGGATCTGGAAAGAACGTCACCCTTTTCATCATCAAGAGACGACAAAGGCCATACCGGTGGCTTTTCAGCTGAACTTGAGTCATTACTCTCTGCACATGTGCCTCTCATGGTCGATAGCTCTTGACCTTGCAAGACCCTTGAGAACATATTCGCATGTGAATGGTCTGCTGCACATAGCCTGGATGAACCTATATATGTAAATAACATTCAATTAGCTCAAATAGTGTTTAATCATATCTACCTTCCTCCAGGTTTGACTAAATAAACCAATTACTCTAAAGGTTACTAAAAATGGCAAATGCCCCTTTACTAGACATATTTTTCACAAAATGAGGGTGAATGATGATAGGATGTGTAACGATGTTAGTAGGAACTGCACGTGTCAAAACTAAATTGCCCTCAATAGTTGTCCCTAACTCCCTATGACTCGTTTTTGGTGAAAGATTTAAATGTTTAAGCACATAAATTCATTAAAAACAACCTAAGTCAATATGAATGTGCAAAACTCTTGGTAATATCATCATATTCTATAACCAACCAGTACTAAAAGCGTTCAATTTGCGAAAAAATATGATTTATCATGAAGTTATTTTTTGAAATGAAAAGTCATTAGGTAATTTGACCAAACCTCAGGAGGGACAGATTTAATTAACCCAGTGTAATATTAGAGAGTAAGATTATGCACCTTCTCTTGTTAGAACAGACGAGTCAGGAGAAGAAGGCAAAACATTTGACCGTGGCCTTTTCGGTCTAGGGACAGGAACTGGATTGAGTGCGGGAGGAGTAAGAGCAGGCTCTATGTTCCAAGGTGAAACCCGGTCTGGCCTAGGAACAGAAGAAGTTTCATCCCAACGCACCTTAAATCATTAATTATTGAATGCGAAATAATCTTCTATTAGTATAGAGAATAAAAAATAATTAACAAACAACAATACACTAGAAGAGATGCTACACATTATTATCACCTTCAGACATCTCCATTTGGATTCTGGCCACCTTTGAAGATCACCGTCTTCAATACCAACAATAGTTCCAGTAAACCTGCAACGTTGGGAAGTTACATCCCCCACATAGCACAGTGTTTTATATGTTAGTCCTGAAATTAAAAGAAAGCAGCAACATCTGACCTAAAAATACACATACCTCTGCTCAGGAGCTTCTTCCCCTTCAAACCTCATTTTGAACCTCATCCCTATAGTGTAGTTGCTTTTAACAGACTCCACATATTGGTCATATGGAATTATAAATTCAGCAGGACTTGTTCTGTAATACACACACAAAAATACACATTAATGCTAAATCCGTCTCCCTGCATACACAAGAAATGGAATCTTCAGTTACATACCTTGGTTTATAATACACTGTAAAGAGGGTTTTAGTCTGAATGGCATGCCATGCTGTTGCAAGTACACCAAGATGCATGCTATGGCTGGATATAACAGATGACGGTGCATTGCTCTGATGCCTCATGGCACGCCTAACCCCAACACGAAGCTCCCCGTTCTCGCCTCTGAAGAATTGAAATTTTCATAATATTAGATTACATTTTGGATACCTGTAGTACATGTATCATCTATGCAAGCAGCATGGTGATATTAAGCAGCATGGTGATATTAAGTTACATTTAGAATGCTTTCGATAAATAAAAAAGATCACCAACCGCAAAAATATGAAGGCATCCCCAGCAACGAGCCTTTTTGAACTAACAAATACACTCCAACCACTTTGGAGAAGATGTCTCCGGGGCTGGCCTGCATTAAGTTGACAGCATTAGTATCAATCATAGGAAGGAAAGCAGAGACTCTTCAGGTTACAAGAGACAGCCAAAGGTACAACTTTTTAAAGGGTAAGGTACAACCTAACTACTATTGGAAATTATCAATTCTAGCTATATTTTAAAATCTATTTGTGATTTGACTAACATTACATAGTCAATTTGTTTGGAATGCTTTATTGAAGAAAAAAATACAATAAATTAATAGTAGCTTAATTCTTTTGGGAATAAGGCTTGGATGTTGTTGTTTTATAAGCACAAAAAAAATGGGTTTTCAAAGAGAACTCTTTTTGGGGGCACAGAGGAGCAGTAATTAATATATATTTATGCACATGCCTAGTAAATCTGTAATCTGTTTAACGGTACTCTAAATGTCACACTTTTCTGAGATCCTGCTATTTTTAACCATATCAATGTTGATTTGTATTTCCATATTTACACTAGCAGCAGATGTATTCAGTCTGAGATGAATTATTAATTGCGCATAGTACTATTTGATGCCAATTGTCAAGGATAAAGAAGACGAGTGATTATTAATAAGAACATATTATGGAATTGTACCGCGAAATATATGTCTGAAACGCCACTCGTTCCCGTGCAAATCTTTGGCCACCAACTCCTGTGTTGGAGGCTGCCGGGACATGTCCTATATCCCAAACCAAAGAGAGTAACTTAGGTCACTAGTATCTCAAAACAGATTATGTGCAGACAAAATATCCATATACTTGATTATGGAATAAACAAATCCTTCTAACCAGTGGGGGAAGACATTCATCAGCATGTCGTCTCAGTACTGAAAATCCACCATGAGTGCTTGTATCTGAAGCCGTAAGAGTCTTACAGAAGGAGTGTACATGAAAGCGTGGCGGAGGAGGAGGCATGGATTCCTTCTTAGCTGCATTCTCATCGAGCTGCCATTAAACCAAATCAATGACTGTATAAATAAGCTAAACACCAACCATCAAATTTTCAAAATATCACAAAATTGAATTTGCTCCTTCGGTGGTGAATAAACATACATCTAATTCTGGCATCAGAGTCACTTGGGCATAAACTTCATCTGTATCTGGCTCAGCCTAGACATTCAAAGGTTATGAGTTTGTGTATGGTATAGACATTAATGATGCTTAAGAGAAAGCAGATACATGATACGGAGTATAATTTTAAGAAAATCTCATAAATGAAACTAAAATCTTAACACATTTCTTCAAGTAGGACTATCATTTTTATTAAAATGATTTTTCACTCTCGAGAAAAAGAAGAGTTAACTTCTTATATTCCTTTATTAATTAAGACTGTTAAATGAGTTCTATTTTAGGATAAAATAGGAGATTTCCTAATTGTGCACATGCCTCTTGTTTAGTGCTTTTTAAAACAACTCACCTAAAATTTTACATAATTAAACAACACCTTTTAAAATTCTTAGGATAAAACCGATAGATCATCGGTATTAACAAGCAATTACCTTCAGTTTGACATTAAACACGCGGCACAGGATCTTGGAAGGAAGATTATACATAGGCATCTGCTGATCTGCCACTTGATTAGTTGATGCCTCAACCTATGAAACAAACTCGTTAAAATAGCAATACTAAATTCTCGGAACAGTGCTGCACAGTAGCTACATAAAGCAAATCAAGCACATAAACTTTATAAAAGACATACACACACAAAAAAGTGACAGAAGGAAACCATCGTATGGGAAAATGCAAAAAATCTGAGCTCATAAATGATTCACTGTTGTCAAACCAACCTGTTCAATATGACCTTGCGGAAAATAGAACACCAGGTCACCCTCTCGCGGCACCGTTACCAGCGGCCCAGCACAAGCCCGCCATAGCTCGGTGTACAACGCTGTCTCAGCATCAACTAAATCTCAAAAAAAAAAAACAGAGCATGTTGAGTCTATAAACAGTAATCAGCATGAAACACAAAAACAACAAACAAAAGCCGCCAGATTCACCTTTTCCGGCGCAGGAGCTGCCACGAGCTCCAACATCATTCGGCTCAGTGTATCCTTTGAGCGAAGCTTCCGCAGTAGTCATTTCCGAAGAGAAAGCATACAATTGAGTAAACTACAGATCTGACATCCTCCAAACACGCTCCCTCTGAATCGGCTCTCCACCGGAGAAAGCTCAGAGCCACTTAAAGCAAACGGAAATCTAGATTCAACAACTTTCTCACTCTAGACCCCGTCGCACTTCTTCCTCCTCCTCTTCTTCTCTCTCTCTCTATATCAGCGATTTTGTATGTCTCCAACGGGATGGGCTTTGTAGCGTTAGGACATGAGAGATGGAAGAGAGGGGGTCAAAACGGTGATAAAAAAAAGTTAACCGAGGTAAGATTCTAACCTGGCTACGGGTAATAGCCGGTGCGATTTCCGATGACTGGGAGTGGCCGGTGTACAAGAAGGCGATGGGGGGACAAGCGGACAACTAATAAAGGCGGGGATTTAGAGGCCGTTATGCGTTGCGGGATTCCTATTGGACTAGCATCTCACGGCGTTTGTCTGCGGCGTTATCTTAAAGCTGCTCTGGCCTCTGGCTCTCACGGAGAAAGTGGGCCTGTCTTCTTATTAACGGGCAGTGTAGGATGGGGTTTCGGGTTGGGTAATGACCCGCACGGCCGCGCCCCATTTTTTTTTACCACGGTTTAATTATTAGTTACTTAACATGGTAAATTTCGCATCTACCATGCATCTGATGCATGTTAGCCTCTCAAGTTTTTACAGTACTTTTTAACAGTTTTCGTGACCAAAACTTGCGGAATCTTTTTCTACCGTTTCTTGTAATCAATCAACCATATACTAGTCCTGCACTCCATACAACACGCCAAACAAGACACATGTTTAAGAAAGTAATAATGGTAATCTATATAATTGATATTTGATATTCCGTGTTAAATTTACAAAGATTTATAAATTTAACCATGCAATTATAATGAAATATGATTTTCCCTTCTAATTTTTTCAAATTTTCCTATTTTGTTCCACTAACTATAATTTTTTCTTTTAAATAGATAATTTGTGGTTACTAATACTTTCATCTCATCTGCACAAATCTCAATCACACACTTTTTTATTTTTTTATTATATGACTCAAATTGGGCAAAGTTATAAGGATGGAAGGAGTGTTTAAAATATATTCTGTTAAAAAAACTAAAGCTTGTATGAAAAATAGATAAAATTATGCTCTACAATAACTTCATTCATTTCAGTCAGAAAATTAACTCTAAACTTATTTTAAGTATTACATAATTCTAGGTCATTACCAAAATAGGAATTTTAAGATAAAAGTATTTGTAGTCCATATTTTCAACTTATCAATCTTATCGGTCATTTTTTATCGGATACGTAACTTTTGATTTTGCGCGTAGAGCGATGTAATAAGACGTTTTGCCTAAAATATTACACATAAAAAAGTTATTGACAAAAATGACATTTGGTAACTTTTAGTGACTATAATTGTATTCAAAATTTGCATCATAGTCACTACAACATAATACTTTCGAACACAATTATAATAACCAAAAGTTATCAAGTCACATTTTTGTCCCTTTTTCTAGAAGTAATATTAGTGGAATTTTTTCGTGTCATAATGATTGAATACTGCGTATAAGTTAACACAGATTCACTTTTCTGACTGAAATTGCTGAAGAAATCTATTTGATCTATTTTCTTATATTTTTATTAATAAAGTATATTTTAAATATGACTTTTTTATATTCCAACCGTTTCGATCAGAATTTCATGAATTTCAGTGCATAATAAAACATTAATTCAATTTCAATTTTATCAACATAGTTTTTAATGATATTCCAAAAAAATGGTTTTTAATGAAAGAATAAAAAGTGAAAAATGGAATAGAAAAAGTAAAGAAAGAGGGAACACTTCGTATGGTGCTTAAAGTAAAATAAAATAACATAATAGGAATGATTCATATTAAATAAAGGGTTTTTTATTTTGTGCAAGTTGTTTTGACAAGTTTAGTTTTAGTCAAATAAAGAAATCTTAAAAGTTCATTTTGTAAAGGAAAAGTGCGAATCTAGTATACGTTACGGAGTTGTTTTCGTAAATAAATGAAAATTTGTTACATTATATGGAGTACATAATTCCAAGACATAATTATTCCAAAAAAAAATCCAAGACATAATATCGCTCACCAAGTATCGTGTGATTCGATTATACGGAGTATTAGGATGTTTTCTTTTGGTGATTCGATGGTATTAGATTGTTTTTTGGATTGTTTTCTATCCCACATCATACCAAAATAGACCAGGCTGAAATAAACCAGACCAAACCATTTTATTATTATTATTATTATTATTATTATTATTATTATTATTATTATTATCTTCATTATTACTAATATCATCTTATTTATATTCTTATTGTAATTGTTATTGTTATTGCTATTATTGAATACACAGAACATTAGATATATGGATTATAAATATGAATATTTTATGGATTTTTTTTAATTAGATTGAATTTTCTGATTTGGTTTGGTTTGGTCCATTGTTCTAGTCGAACACTATTGTAACACCCCCAAATTTCCCTCCCAAAATAATACTTAAGAAATAATAAACTTTTATTAATTATTCAAAACATTCAATTGTTTGCAGCAGAATTAAATACTAACAAGGAAAAGGGGCGGTTACCGCCACACCCAGCCTTAAACCGACTGGATGCTAAGGCTATCCACCGTAAATGTATCTAAAGTAATTATTAAATTCAACATTTGAAATCATGAAATCTAACAAGGTTCATTCTAAATGAGACTACTCTAAAAATCTTCTAGGAGCGCTCTCAGTGCATCAATCTTCATAAACCACATCATCTGTAACATAAGAAAATAAAAGAACAAATAACACAAAAATTAGTTTTAGAGCTAAGTAAGTCCCACCCAACCCCGTAAAATAATAGTTTTGTTTAAAAATAAGTATTTGTATATAGTATATACAAAAATGAGTTTCCAATAATTTCAAAAAGAGTAATAATATCTCTAAAAGATTTTCTTCAATAGTTCTCGTATGTATTTCAAAGAATAATTCTCCAAGTACCAAAATATTTGATTTTTTTTCCTCAAAATAGCTTTATAGCTAATTCTCCTAATCATTTAATTAGAAGGGCGGTGCTCAAGCGTTATCTCGATTCTTGAGCCCAGTGATCCGTTGTTTTGTACGGTCACTCCGATCTACTCTCGGTACCTCATCTCCTCTATTAGAATCTAGACTTCTACCTTAAGTGTGCACACCCCCTAAAGAGATTCCAAGCCCTCCGAGTAGTATGAAGTCTAAGTAGTTCTGACGTCAACGTCTCCCTACTCAAAAATGGGATATACTCCCTAAGTTCTAGGTTCAAAGACCCTTAAGAGAATAGGTACTACTACTACTGCTTTAATAAATGGGATCTAATGCCCAGTTGTTCGGGGTGGTTACCGAACCCTCCAAAATTTATTTAATTTGCTTTACACCTCTCAATTCAAGTAGTAGTAGTCATAACCCTCCCTCACCATTAACGGACGTGAAGGTGGCCCGACACCTACGGATTTCTCCCGTGGTGCCCCAATTATGAAAACAGTCTTTTATCTTGACTTTCCAAAAGTTTCACATTTATGTCTCTTGGACAAAATTTTACCACAAAGATTAAAATTCATAACTTTATATTTTCCCCAAAATATCTTACGTATACACATAATCCGATGTATCTCAAAAACACAACAAATACAACTTGCTCACAAGTAATTCATCAATCAAAATATTCATACCATCACATAAATCAAGTAAATAGTTATTTACGAGGTAAAAACATAATTTTGGTTGCAATGTGACTTACCTCAAATTCCCGATATTTCTAACAAGCTTCCCTATCAGCTTCTTCTCCCAACTGTCCTTCTATTATTTAAAATTTCACAATAAGTAAATTATTCTACGTTTTTCATAGTTTTATTTGTTTTATTGGATCGTTAATATAATCAAGTCCAGGCTATTCTGTTTTACTATTTTTACCCGATTCCTGATTATTTATCCATATGAGATTAAGCGGTGTAGTCTATTAATTCTAATTTAATCCGTTATCGAATCATTAACTTAATGTATACCATTGGTTCTGTTCATAGATAACGAGTCAAGAAAATTATGTTCCTCTGTTTGTTTACTCCCATACAAGCTAAGTATTTCATTATTTCAAATAGTCAGTCATAACAATTCAATCGGTCCAATCATAACAGTTCCATTTTAATTTAATCGGTCCATTGCTTATCATTAGAGTATTACATCCTCACCATCATTAACTTCAGTTTTTAACAATTAACTTCAGTTTTTAGCAGATATAACAATCGGCCCTACTCAATTCATTTTTATTAATTCAGTCTAAGTTTCTTTTTAATAAAGTTGACCCAAAATAAAAGGTTCAGTTATAAAAACAAATCAGTTCGTTATCATAGTCTCTAAATGTAGTACATTATGATAATCTGTTTTATTTTCATATTCGCAGTGTACTTTAATATAATCCAAATGTCCATTTTATAGTAATTCAACCGATGATGCAGTTTAAATAGTCCAAATTCTACTTTATTCTAATCAGTTAATTGCTTGTCATTAATCATCCAATTATGTATATAGAAGTATATAACCGATCCATTGTCACTGTTATATTTTTGTTATTATTGATCATGTTCACCTTTTTATATTATTGTTGTACTTATTTTATTTATTTTCGAAGTCCATATAATAGGTTAGATAGTCGTCCAAACCAGTTTAGTGTCATTTTTTTTGTCATCTTCTTCGTATGGAAACACCGGAAAAACGAGGTTACGCATGAACGAACGTACGGCCTTACCTTAACGGTGGTCGGTGGAAGGTGGTACGGCGGTCAGAGTCTCTTCCTTAAGACGGCGGCAGCAAGGTGGTGGCGCGGCGCAGCACTCCGGCAGTTTCCTTCTCCAGCAACGTTCGGTTGAGACCTGCGTTCTCCCTTCTCCCGCGAAGGCCTGGCACTCCCAGATGATCGGCCTTTCTTCTTCTTCTAAACGTTCACCCTCTCTCTCACGTTTTTATATTTCTTTCTTCTCTCTTTTTCTCACTTTTTTTCTCTCGTTTTCTCCCTGCAACGCAGGTTGCAGTTCGTGGTTTTTTTTTTGTGCAGCGAAGGTTGATCGCAAGGCTCCTATTTATAGCTGCTGAGTGAAGGTTCTAGGTCGTTTAAAATTTATCCGATTGGCCTACAAGCTCAAGTTTTGGAAGTTGAGTGTTTATCTCCAAGGTT